ATATCTGATAATAAGTAACATGTGAATGACTGGATAAAGTTTCCCTGGAAGAACACGACCAGTTTTGCGGTTCTTGCCGCTCATCAAACATGCATATCTGGTATGGAATATGTCTAAATTACATTGGAAAAGGATGAAGTCTATCTATCTATCTATTTATCTATCTATCTATCTATCTATCTATCTATCTATTTCTCCGGATGTTGCAAGCAAGATTGTTGTGACGAAAATACACTTCCCGGGTACAAGTATATGAATGAACGGACAAAGTACTACCGGATACGCATGCCTGACGAGCGGCAAGAACCGCGAAACCGTTCGTGTGCTTCCAGGAAAAATTTGTGCAGTCATTCACATGCTACTTATTATCATATATTCTACAAAGATCATCAGGTCACGATTGTTGCGGTTAGCAGCATCTAACCCACTTACAAAAGCATCGAATCATAGCACTGATTCTTCAATCGACTGGCTCTAAAAGAGCTGTCTATCCAATAGTCACCTGGTGTTGCAAACAAGGTTATTGTGACGAAACACAGCTTGAAAACAATCATGGCACCAATACAAGTAAAAAGAAAAGAGGAAGCATTCAGTACAATGAGAGGGGAGGGAGGGATGCAGCTTATGCCCATCAGCTCGAACAGGTTTCGCGAAACTATCCTACCTATCTTACCCCTGGATGATCGAAATCATCATATAGCAGTTACTCGCGAACTCACCTCATTGCACGGGATTGGTGGACTGAGTTGCAATGCGGCCTCGTGAGAGTCTTCCGGCCAACCTTTGGGTGGTACAAATCGATACCAAGTGAAACTGCGAACCGCCACAGCCGGATTAGCTTCTGCTGTACAGTCGAGCTGAGCAACTCCGTTTGTGGCTTCGGTAATGTTCTCCTCAGCCGGGCCAACTAGTTCAGCCGGATCTGTGTGGGTGTGGGATGATAACCACAGGGCAGAGAATAGAATACTGTGTGGTTAACGGAAATCCATCAATCAGTCTGAGGGGATGTATTGAAAATAGGTGGTAAAGCTTATAAAATTGTATGGAGTTCGAATTGTTTTTTTTTATGCACGCTACGTCTAGAAGCAGAGCGATTCCCGTTTATGTGTATTCCCGTCCATTCATAACAGAGTCCGATACAAAAGTATTTACGAAAAATTATCATTATATGAGCTTGGAGTCTTTGAAATACTTATTACTGTATTGCTCTCGAGTTCCTGTCAATGAAAAAGTGAATCTAAGCTTAAATTGTAGAAACACACGGAATTAAGCAGCAGCAACAACAACAATAACAACAACAGCAATGAACAATAGCTACAACACCTTATGCTGCTACTACTGTAACGCTAGTCACTTTGAGCGCGCCGCCGCCATTTTGGATTGAATGTTAGTCGTGTGCATTTCTTCCATTGGACCTTCTTGCTCATGGTG